GTAGCTGACTTTAAATTAATTTTGGTTGTTAATGGTCTGTAGACAGCCACTTCAACAAATCTTTGTCCATATTGCTATGTTAAGTTACGGCCACTTCGAGAATTACTTACACAGGTGGAAGAAAATATATGTGATGTAAACTGTAATTTAGATATTTCTTTGAAATCTTTGCACAATAGATGTGCAGTTTTGCGAACATATGGTGATCTGAGAAAATGCTACGACAGGTAAAATTAAACAACATTATGTTTTAAATAATTTTCTGTTATCAATGTACTATCACCTGTATAATAATAAACATTTAATATACGTTTAATATATATTTTATTAGGTTTCAGCTATTAGGAGGAATAAAAAAAAACTCAAACACTATAAGCTCAGTGAACCTTCCACTTTTTAACGAACCAGATTCTATGTTAGTTATAGCTAAATGCCCTCTTCCTGAATTACATTTAATACAAGGATTCGTCAATCGTGTCTTTTGGAAGAGAATTTTGCAACTTTTAGGCAGAGAAAAAGCCATGCTGTTGCCTTTAAAGTTGAAACTGATTTCAAAAAATTACCAGGTAAAAATTTGATAAAAAATTTAGACAGTTTTTACTAATTAACGCCAAAATTAATTAATTTGTAATTTTTGTCTATGGTGAGATTTTTTGCAATGCATGTCGTAAGCTATTTCAACATGCAAATAAACTTCTTGAAGCTGATGTCCTTGGTAAAGTTAGTCCGTTATTGTGTTGCCTTTAGTTTCATTGCTAAAAGTAATAAACAATGTTGTAGAATGTTGTATTAGAACTGGAAAGGTTTCTCACAATTTATCTCATTACTTGCATGTTTTGAAAACAATGTTTCAAGCAACAGATTTATATGAAACTCTAAAAATACAGGTAATTTTTGAACGGATCAAACAAAACGGATCAAAAGCCTTTGTGAATATAAAAATCAGATTATGCTCTAGGACTTGTATCTGAACAAGAGAGTCAATCCATAGGACTTCTGAACAAGAGAGTCAATCCATAGAGAATTTTTAAAATATTGGTCACGATATCAAATTAAAATAATCACCCTTGTGTCGTATGGGGAGCGGTTGATGAAAGCTGTTGTAGAGTTTAGTTCTAGACATTTATAACAATTTTGTTTTCTATTTATTTTAATTTTGTTTGTTTAAACCCGTTTTTTTTTTAACATTAAATATGAAAATATCGATTAAAATAATTTGTTACTTCTTTTGATTCTAATTCGTTTAGCAATTGCTTTAATTGGATTTAAAGTATGCAAAAGCGTAGTTTTATTGCATATTGTAGATTTATAATAACTTTCAACAGTACTGCCGATAGCTGAAGTAATCTATAACTAATAACATCTTCATAACTCACAGTTTTTTTATTACCTTATGCCAGATGAAAAAATATGTTTTGAAATAATGACTCAATTAAAAGTTATTTAAAAATCATGGACGAGCAGCTAGGATTTTAATTTCAACAGATTTGTGATCTACAAAAAAAGTTTTAAAAGGATCTGAAAAAAGCTTTTGTTGGCATTTTTATTGATCTTAAATTTGTCGAGGGCCAGTATGTTGCCTGACCTTATCTTAAATGATAAATTAGTTTAAAAAAAAGCCAGTATAAAATTCTTAGGTATTTTTGTTGATGAGAATTTATTCTGGCTTCCTCAAATAAGATATATTCAATCTAAGATCACCAATATAATTGGTATGAGGTATCGAGTTCGTTCGTATGTCATTAAACATAGTCTCAAACTAATATATTTTGGATTAATTTAAAGCTACAACTTAAATGTTATGCAAGTATATCATGGGCAAGTACTCAACCATCAAATTTAAAAAAAAATTTATAGCTTACAAAAACATGCGTGCAGAATCATTTCCTCATAATAAAAAAATAAAAAGGTGTAACACATGCCATGAAAGTAACAACACATAACAGCTGTCTCATAACGTTAATAAATATACTGAATTTAGCATTACATATCGAAGTCTAGTATATGAAATATCTATCAAAAAAGATTTAAATCTATGACAAAGTTATTAAGGTCATTTAAGTTCAAATCAAAAAAGAAATTTTTAAAGTTTGAGATTCATTTGTGCTTGAGTAACTGAAGTTATTTGATTCTATTTTTTCAGTTTTTTTTATCTTTATTTGATTTACTGATCAGCGCAGCAGTTTTATGCCCTATAGGGTTATTAATATAATATCTTTATTCTATTGAAAGTTAATATAGTGGCTTTTTTATAAAGATCATCGTAATTAGAAAAGTTTATATTTTATATTGTATATACAAAAACGGTGCTTGTTGACAAGATTTTGTCTTTTTCGTTTTACGGACATATTTTTTCTTTCTCGTATATATATGATCTTTATTGTATATGTATGTTGATTCTTTTTGTTAAACAGCAAAATGAATAAAACCTTTTTGTTAAACGAAAAAAGAAAAAAAAAAAAATGTTGTATTGTTTTCTTTGCTCGTTTTAATTTTTTTTTCTTACAAAAATGATGTAATATTAATTTGAAGTATACTAAATTTTTTTCTTTCTTTGACTTTTAAACTTTGACTTTTATTAATAACTTTGAAACCAAAAAAACTTTAGTGCGTTAGTTTTATTTGACTTGTTTTTAATTAAGAATGAATAATTGTAATCAATTTTCTTTGCGACTCCTTATGGTGGTCATTATTTAATTCATATGCTTCAGGACCGACGACACCAGGGGGGCGGGGTCGACCATGTGCTTGGAATATAATCGTTAAAAATAATATTATTAGCGCAGCAGTTTTAATGATTTTATGTTTTTTTTTTTTTTTTTTTTTTTTGAGATAATGCAGCAACAACTATCGAATTTACAACAAAAAACTTTTATTTTATTGAGGTTATGTCAAAAAATAAAATCTGTATTTTTATTAATTTGTATCTTTTAGTGAAGACGTTGTTATAAAATATTCAGGTTAAAACAACTTATAATAAATTTTGTTTTGCGACAATAAACGAGTTAATTGTGACAACTTTATATATAACGTATAACGTCTTTATATACATACTTTAAATAGAAGATTCGCATAAGCCAAAGTTTAGAGGATATCGGAGAAAGGTTTGTATGATGTCTAAAAGTAATGGGTTATAAGCACAAAACACAACAAAAGTGTCTGTTACTCATGCAAAACAAAGAGTTTACATTAAACTGTTTTAAATAATATGAACAAAAAATAAAAAATGTTTATACAAACCATACAACATAAAATGATATTCATTAAAATTAATTTAAATAACAGTAACATTTAGTTAATACTTGAAAAAAAAAAAAAAACACTCGTCAAGTTCATGTGTAAACAAACGGATGAAATAACGTTTTAATTGATATTTAATGTTTATTTTAATATTTTTGTTTATTAATACATGTGTTCATTATTAATACAAGTTTTCATTATTACAAATGTTCATAATTAATACAAATGTTTACAAAGGTTTTTTGGTATATAGGCCCACTCTGTCTCACTGTGCGACGCCTTCGATTGCCGATGTTGCAAATACGGCCAGAGCAGGCATCAAACCTCGGTAATCTTAATATTCAAGCAATCGCTCTAAGCACTGCACCACGGCTGCTACATAGTATTTGACGGGGGAACTATGTTTTTCCGAGATATATTTTATACCAAAATATACAAGTTCGTTAAAAAAGAAGTTTACAATTTCAAAATGTATTAAATAATTCCAAACCAAAACATTAACATTTATTGTGAATACTGTCAATATAGTTATACATAATTATCTAACAAGTGACGAAACCATCCACCGTTAAATAGAAGTTTAAATATGATTTATGACTTACCTTTCATATTTTACTTGCATTTTTTAAACTAGCAATGTTTAACTTGCATTATTGACTTAGAAAAAAAAAAGACGTCTAAAATGTTTACTTAAAAAAGAACAAAAGTTTGTGACAATTTATACAAAGTTATGTTGAAAGTTAATATATAATTTGAAAACTAATTGAAGTTTTTTAGATAAGTTATATTTTTTATTTTTTGTATTTAATAACAATTTATATTTTACATAATGTTTACAATAAAAAATCAATTAAAAACAAATACCTAGCGTGGTTTTAAAAATCAAAAAGTAAACTAGCATAACAAACACCGCTCTACAATAGTAAAAAAGATTACAATAGTCAATTTAGTATGAATTATTGCTATTAAAAGTTATTTTTTTAAAAACTAGAAATTTGAAAAGTTGAAAAGTTTTAATTAAATAAACTTATTTGACACTAGATATATGCGGTATATAACCAAAAGTAAAACAACCAAACAATGAAGTAAATCAGTGCATGATGGTGTTGTTGCTGCGTAATTCGGGATAATGAGATGCTTCAGAAAAATATATTTATTTGAAATAATTTAATTAAAAATCGAAGATGGTAATAATATCAAGTAATTGATTAAACATTCTCAAGATAATTGATTTTTTTTTTAGGATATTCTACATAAAAGTAGTAGCATATACAAAACGTTCGAAAACAGCAAAAGACTATAGATATATTTATTCCAAAATATTTTTTCATCAAAAAAAAATTAACTACATAGGAATATATATATATATATATATATATATATATATATATATATATATATATATATATATATATATATATATATATATATATATATATATATAATATATATATATATATATATATATATATATATATATATATATATATATTATTTTTTATATATAATTTGATATATAATATACATATCCACACAAAATAAAGAGAGGCGGGTCACCGGCCACAACCCGCTGGTATGTGGGCTTTTGCTTTTTTATGTGTAATGTGTTTTGCAATTTTTAATATTCAAAGAGATTTTTTAAATAATAACCATTTCATTTTATTTTTATTTTGATAAAAAATAAAAATTAAAAAGCAATGTTATTAAAATCAATAGCTTTTACATATTTTAGTATATTAATTTAATAATTTTCTTTAATTGCAGTAAATAAAAAATAAAAAAATAAAAAGTATTATATAAATAACTTAAATAAATCACTATGACAATATCCCCTGAACAAAGCCCGAAACTTGACGATAGATTAAGAATCTCGAGCCCTGCACTCATACGACCCTCTGGAAAGCAAAAAACACCTGTTAAGTTTACGCCACAAAAGTATGCATTAAACAATTCTAACTTTCAAATGCACGAAGAAGAGGATCTAATCGATAATTGTGAAAATAGTGTTGATAAATGGTTGAAGGTTAGCTTTTTATGCTTTATGTTTTTTACTTTGTAACCGTTTTAACTTTTTTTTTTCTTTTTATAAAAATTATAATTAGCTATTATAACAACTAATAATTTTAAGGCATTTTAACTCGTTTCAATTTATGTAAGAGTTATCCTAATTGACAATTACACGGAAGTATTAATACATTAGTGACAAATTTGTGAGGAATTAATATTCGTGGCTATTTCTTCTCGAACAAAAATATAAGGTTTTCCGTGTAATAAATAGATTATTGATTTAAAATAAAAGACGAATGACTGTCCGTATACCGGCTTATATACCGTCAAATTGTTTTAAATAAATAGAATAATTGGGAATAATAATTTTGAGACCTAGTATTTTGTTATAAACTTAAAAGTTATTAGAAAAAAAACAAATATTGTTATAAACTTAAAAATTATTAAAGAAGAAAATAATTCTTATCAGTATTTTTTTTTAATTGTATCTATATTACCACGAGCTAAAGTTTGCGAGAGATATGTTATACCAATGAGCTTCAATAATTATTTCAAATTTACAAGTAATATTTACAACCATAATCTTAGATCAGTATCTTGTAATAGTTTCAAAATCCCATCAAAGCAGTCAAAAAAGTATTGTTATATTAATAAAAAGTTATTTTAATACATTCCTGGAACTGTAAAAACTAATAAAATCTTGCGCTAAATTAATAAATAGAAATATGTTTATCAAACAAATAAAATAATTTATCATGTAAATGCCAGATTAAACTGCAAAATAAGTATATAAAATATGTAGTATAAATAAGATTCCATGTAAATATTCCTAAAAAATAAATAAAAATAAAATAAAAACTTTCAAAACATAGAAATACAATATTTATAGCTTTTTTCAGCGTAATAACAAACAATATAACATATAATGCTTTTTTTTTTTTAAATGCAATATTAATTTTTTAAAAATATATATAATTCTTATATATATATATATATATATATATATATATATATATATATATATATATATATATATATATATATATATATATATATATATATATATATATATATATATATATATATAAGTATATATATGTATATATGTATATATATGTATATATATGTATATATATGTATATATATGTATATATATATATTTATATATATATGTATATATATGTATATATATATATATATATATATATATATATATATATATATATATATATATATATATATATATATATATATATATATATATAATTATGGAATTAAATATAATTCATTTTATTTAAATGCAACTTTCATTCTTCGCTTTTTATTTTGCTACTAATAAAATAATATTGCTATAACTTACCATAGTAAAAAAAAATTTATAACTAATCACTATTTTTGTATTATTTTATTATAGCTATTTAAAAAATTTCATTTTACTGTTATTTTACCTTTTAATTATAATTGTTATGTTTGTTACTTTTATTGTTATATTTACTTAATTAAATTATTACCATTTCTATTGTATATAAATATATATATGTATGTATATATGTATGTATATATATATATATATATATATATATATATATATATATATATATATATATATATATATATATATATATATATATAAATATATATATATATATAAATATATATATATATATATAAATATATATATATATATATATATATATATATATATATAAATATATATATATATATATATATATATATATATATATATATATATATATATATATATATATATATATATATATATATATATATATATATATATATATATAGTCTTGCATGGTTGTACAAAGTTTTTCCCACAAACTGTTGTTTTAAAGAGCGCGTTAATAAGCCTGACCAGAAAAATGTTAAAAAACTTCATAAAATTTTTTTTTTTAAATGATAGACTGCCTGCCCAAACCAAACCCTCAGTCGATGTAGCAGCACTCCCTTGCGAGTCAGGCTATTTGTCAGTCGATGTAGCAGCACTCCGTTGCGAGTCAGGCTATAACACAGTCGATGTAGCAATACTCCCTTGTAGCAGCAGGCTATAAGATAGTCGATGTAGCAACACTAACGCATGTTTTAAAAATGTTATTTAATAAAACAAAAACAAAAACACCACTAATTAAAAAAAACTTTCTAGTCATTATTATTGTAGTTTTTTCAAAAAACAATAAAATTTAATATACTTTCGCATTAATTTAATTGCTTTGACATTTCAATGACAATCAAATACAACTTAAGAAACGAGGTAATAAAAAATAACGTCATCGCATTTGCATAAACCTTCGTAAAAACTAAATTAAATGAAAACAAAAAGAAACGAAAAATTAAGTGTAAATAATGAATCAGTTTTTTATTATATTGTCTGATAAAGTTCGTAAATAAATTACGTATAAAGTCTTTTTATTTTCGTAAAATTTTATAGTCGTCTTTTGCTTGACTTGTATCAAATTTCGTAGCTGAAAATAGCAACCCTAAAAAAAGAAAACAAAAAAATTCTTGTAACATAATTTTTTTTTTGTTTATTTTTTTTTTGTTTATTTTTTTTTTTTTTATTATTAAAATATTTTTCTTAAACCCCATTTCAATTTTATACTTTGTTAAGATTTTGTTTCCTTTTTTTTAGTATTATTTTTTATTCTTTGGGGATAAGTTCCGCTTTCCCGCGAAATATTGCTGCGGTCACGTTTTCTGAAAAATTTATTCTATGCGTACGCCTTTCCTGGGAAAGCCTATATATATATATATATATATATATATATATATATATATATATATATATATATATATATATATATATATATATATATATATATATATATATATATATATATATATATATATATATTAACTATAAAAAAATAAACAAAAAAAAAATTCTTGTAACAAAAAAAAAAAAATTTTTTTTTTTTTGTTACAAGAATTTTTTTGTTTTCTTTTTTTAGGGTTGCTATTTTCAGCTACGAAATTTGATACAAGTCAAGCAAAAGACGACTATAAAATTTTACGAAAATAAAAAGACTTTATACGTAATTTATTTACGAACTTTATCAGACAATATAATAAAAAACTGATTCATTATTTACACTTAATTTTTCGTTTCTTTACGTTTTCATTTAATTCAGTTTTTACGAAGGTTTATGCAAATGCGATGACATTAATTTTTATTACCTCGTTTCTTAAGTTGTATTTGATTGTCATTGAAATGTCAAAGCAATTAAATTAATGCGAAAGTATATTAAATTTTATTGTTTTTTGACGTTATTCCCCGATACTTAGACAAGAAAATAAATTGCTGTTTATTATCAAATATATTATTTGAGATTTTAAACTTAACAAGATTTTAATGTGCAAAAAAGTTCTCTCTCGACTTATTCTAACCTGATTACACTGAGTCAATGCTTGCCTTTTATTACGTTGAAATTATTCAATTGCATAATTTTGTAATTACGAAAGAAGTTAAAAAAATAATTGCATTGCTTCTGTAGTCATTGTTATGAAAACAGTTCCCTCAGGACATTTATTTTTAAAACTCGTTCACAATGCCAATTAATGATTGCAAAATAAGTAACTCAATCGTTTGACAATAAAATTTTCTTTCATTTGAAAATTGAAAAAAACATATTTTACAAATAAATAGCAATTGTTTTCGCGCTTTCTTATGTATCAATATATTTAAACATTTAAATGTATTTGCGAAACATTTAAAAACATAAATTTAAAAATTGATTATAGTTCTAGCGTGAATTTAAAAGTATTACTGACTGATAAAAGTCATAAACAAACTTTACATTAAAAGGTCCTTTTATTTTCATTAAATTTATATAAACAATAATCTTTTTCTTTTTCCTTGATTTGTATTGATTTAATTTTTCATAGCTGAAATAACTGCCACCCTAAAAAACAAGAAAAAATAAATAAATGAAATTTAGGTAAATCTTTGTTTTATTAATATTCATTATTTTTTTTAATTTTAAAGCACAAACAGAATTCTGTTATTTACTTTAGCATTGCTTGTATTTATGCTGTATTTTCATTTAGCTTTGTTTTAACGTGAATTCTTGAAACACATAATAATAAAACGTGGTCAGTTAGTCAGAAAAATTTATTCTATGCGTGGACAAATGGGACTTTCAAATCAGACTTTCCTGGGAAAGCCTGATATATATGTATATATATATATATATATATATATATATATATATATATATATATATATATATATATATATATATATATATATATATGTATATATATATATATATATATATATATATATATATATATATATACATATATATATATATATATATATATATATATATATATATATGTATATATATATATATATATATATATATATATATATATATGTATATATATATATATATATGTATGTATGTATATATGTATATCAGGCTTTCCCAGAAAAGGCGTGCGGTTGCACGCCTTGTTTGTCCACGCATAGAATAAATTTTTCTGACTAACTGACCACGTTTTATTATTATGCGTTTCAAGAATTCGCGCCAAAACAAAGCTAAACGAAAATACTGCAAAAATGCAAGCAATCTTAAAGTAAATAACAGAAATCTGTTTGTGCTTTAAAATTAAAAAATTAATATATATTATTAAAAAAAAATTTATTTCCATTTTATTTATTTATTTTTTTAGGGTGGTAGTTATTTTAGCTATGAAAAATCAAATCAATAAGAAAAATCAAATCAAAGAGAAAAAGATTAATGTTTAAAGAAAATAAAATGACCTTTTAATGTAAATTTGTTTATGACTTTTATCAGTCAGTAATACTTTAAAATTCACGATAGAACTATAAACAATTTTTAAATGTTTCGTAAATACATTTAAATGTTTAAGTGTATTGATTTAAATGTTTGAATGTATTGATACGCAAGAAAACACGAAAACGATTGCTATTTATTAGTAAAATATGTTGTTGTTTTTTTTAAACGAAAGAAAATTTTATTTTCAAACGAT